ACAGAATAAATAGCTATTGAAATTAGTTCCCTTATCCATATGAGTATCTTCAGGTAAGACAAATTGGGCCATCCAGTGTTCTACTAACACATCAGCAAAAATCTGTGCTGAAGTATAAACCATTGCATAAGTCTCAAGTCCATATAATGAAAATACCAATTAACTCATTCAGTTTCTGGGATATTATCAATAAAGAAGATCCAACAATTACCTGCTGGATTACAACCTATTTGAGCCAGCACACACTGTATGTTTACACCACTGCTTAGTTTCTCAACTGTATTGGTGCTTGTAGAACCACCATGCATCCAAAGATTAAAGAATTTCTTTCTTAAGATCACTGGGACTAGTAGCTGCAATACATCTTAGTTGTTGATAAGAACAGTACAGCACACTTTCCTGCACTCATAGCTGCTCACAAGTGCCACAGGCCACAGTTATGTGAATCTGCACTGTGTTCCTTAATCATTGTTGGCTGCACTTCACCTTTCTGTATGGCAAAGAGTGTTCATGTTAGATCCAGGTCATTCAGTTACACTTCCCAGAGCTCCAGAACCATTAATCATCATATCCATCCACTAATGGATTCTCCTGTTGTATGGTTTAATATTACTATGATGGAAATGGCTTTAACTCCCACAAGGATCATGGCATTCAACGAATAAATAGGGTTTTTTGTTGTGCATCAATACAATCCAACTGCATTTCTATGTTCTGGGCCCAGATGATGTTGCATACAAAGCCACTTTAATAATGCATGGTCCATCTGAATGGTGAACTTTCTACCATACAAACAGTATTGGAAGTGTTTGACAGAGATCATAACTGTAAGCAGTATCTTTAGAAGCCATGAGTGTACAAGATTACATGTTTCCCTCCATCCTGCAACTGCATTTACACTATCAAAATTCCACCATTATACTATCAGCATGCAACAAGAGATCACAGTCCTGTCATGGATCCATTAACAATAGAGCTTTAAAGCATGCTAAAGGTATGCTTGTTCACATTCTTTGGCCTATTTAGAGTGTGCATAAGTTTTTGTGAGAACATATAATGGTACAGCAATCTTAGAGAAGTTGTCCACAAAATGTCAGTAATACAACACAACATCAAGGAAACTAGAGAGCTTTTGTTTGGTCACAGGTTAAAGCCAGTCTAATATTACTGTACTCTTTGCAGGGTCAGTAGAGGCTCCATGGCTACATATATTATAACCGAGAATTTCCACTTGAAGGGCACATGAGCTCACATTTTCCTGGTCTCAATTTTAAGCCTGCCTTTTTTATCTGCTAAAGTACCATGCTAGATTTTCAACAGCAGACTTGAATGTGTGGTCAAACAAGACATCATTGACATAGAGGTGGTACCTTTTACACTACAGCTCCTTCAGTGTAAGTTCCATTAGCTTCTTGAAAAGTGGTGGTCAGTTTTCTGGCAGCTCCTGTATTAACCAAGAATGCTTTCTCTATCACTGTACCCTATTGGGCACATATCACGTGCCACCCAAAATTGAGAGAGCTTCACTGATCACCAAACCTTCATTGCAAGATGCAGTTTCCCAAGTTTGTAGCCAGACCTGACTTGGGCTTCATTAATTTCTTGGAACTGAAATAGCAGCAGTTACCACTTGCTGTCAAACCTCCTGCATCTACTGTGAAGTAGGTCAAAACTGGAAGCCTTGCCTACCTTGTTGCACAGTAAGATATGGGCAGTTCACTTTGAAGTGACCCAATTGCCCACATCTGAAGCAGGATGAAATATCTTGACATGTTTTCAATTAAAAAGAGAAGAGCTCAAGGGAGACATGATTTGCATTTTAGACTATTAGAGGTTTGGAACAAAGAAAACCAGATGATTTATCATAAAAAAAATATGTAGGCAGTAATATATGGAACATTCAGACATGACTCCTGTTTAAGCACTGTTACTCTTTCCTAATAGGGTGGTCATCCTATGAAATAGCTGATCTTCAAGTGGGGTAGAAGCTTAATAGAAGGTTTCATGAGCATTTTAAAAAGCAGGGTATAAGAAAAGGAATTTCTACATGTAATTTGAAATAGGGTTGTAGCAGACAATAGGACAGCCACATGGCCTCTTATTATCAGTTGAAAATTAAAACACAGCATCTGTAACTCCATCAAGACTATATACCACCAAAACCTTCCGAACACAAACCTTAACCTTCCAGACTCTATTTGTCATAAATTACTTGGGATAAACATGTTCACCTTACTTCAGAATAAATAAAACACGTATTATTTGGAAATATGTATTATACAATCCACACACACAACAGCATATAAAACAATTACTTTATAAAGATCTCTGATTTTACCATATCATGTATGATGCTGGTGCTTTGTAAACTGAGAACAGTAATAGCACTAATAAAGAGAATGTTTTCCTATGATAAGTATTTGTATTTATTTGACTTATTTTAATTTTTTCAAGTATCCTAAACTAATATAAAATAAAGTTCCACTAGACTTTACATCTCATCTCTATACAAAACACAGTGGAGAGATACTGCAACATATACTCAAGGAAATGCTTTTTATTTTCCTCTTAGAGAGTAAACGTGCATTAACGATAATGGTTTCTTTGAAGTTAAGCACAAAGCTACACAATGGGCTATCTGTGCTCTGCCCACCACAAGTATCAAAACCCAGTTTCTAGCATTGTAAGTCCATAGACATACCACTGTGCCACTGGGGGGCTTAACGATAACAATGTCATGCAGAAACTTAGAGATGATAATCCTAACTTCCAGCCATTAACACAATTTAACAAAGCTTATTTTTTAATATAACTTGAAATGATAGTTTTTTGTTTTGTTTTTTATAAAATAACATTTTTCTTCTAAGGGAAGCATTCTACCTGACAAATTTTTGGTGCACTTTGTGCACAATCCTTCTATAGGCCTAAGCTTCACCTACAAGTGTGGCATCCATACAAATTGGAATGCTACTTTTGTTCCAATTATAGACCTGTACCAAAGGTTCAATGGATAACAATTTGAAATACGTATCTTATAACAAAAGACAAACTTCAACCTTAGAATTAATGACTTGGTTTATATAGACCTCATTGGCTTTTTAAGGAAAATTCTAAGTTACTTATGCACCAAATTGCTTGTGGACCAAACATTTTATTGGTTATAGTATTTTTAATAAAATATGGATCAAACAAAAAAAGAAAGAAAAATACTGTCAAGATTGCAATTAATCTCAGTAATTACTAATGGAGTTTTCTATGTATTTTCAACAAAAACATTAGTGATTCCACCTAACTGTTTGGTCAGTTCTATAAAATGAGTGTTGAAACAGACAACATAAAACTGTTGATAAATTTCTCAAAAAGTCCCACAATGGTACTTATCACTGGATTGCAAGCCATAAGTCACCTGGTGTGGTCACACTAACCACATGTATGTAGCCTTTATGCAAGTAGATACAATGGATGCCATTAGTATAAAATCCCACAAATGGATAACAAAAATGTTTCATAAAACAAAAAATCAAAAATAAATTCACAACAAAATATCAGTTCCTCTGATTGATGCAGCTACAACTAAGGACAAATTTCTCACTGCAGAATTACCACTAATACTACTATTCAGTAGATGCATTACTACTTGCTATTACAGCTGTTAGACCTTAATGTATTGCATCTACAACAATGCTAATCCTTAAATGTTTTTTCACCATTTCTTACTACATTTAGTTATAAATTATCTGTTTCCTCTGCTACAATTATTAAAAGCCTCACACTGTATATTGTATCAAACTATTAGTACTAGATTAAACATCTGACAGTGTATTTGGCCAAATCATGAATGGGTATGCCACACATTCTCACACACTACATTCTGTCAGTGGCAATGAAACTGTCAAACAGTTATTATTATTATGTATAAGCACTCTGAATAGTGAACTAAGTATATCATAAACTATTAATATTTCAAACTGTTGTGGTGGCACATAGGTCACTAAGGCTATTGAGTTAGTGCTTTGTTGTTCATAGTAAAGCTATTAGAAGTTTAGGATGTATTTACAGGCCTGCTGAATACAATTCAATAGAGGCAATTACCTTTCTATACAAATCACTAGTAAGACTGCACTTAGAATATTGAGTTACACTTTGGTCTCCTTATCTAAGAATGGATACTGACTTATTAGAAAGATCTCTTAACTTATTTCATCCTGAGGTAACAGTAAAAAGTTAGCAACATGAGAGAGCAGTAGCTTTTAAATAATGTAATTAACAATAAAATAATCAAAATATTTGAAATATTTGGGGGTATGAAACTGTAGCAGACCAAAGATAAATAATTATGCTTGGGTCCAACTAAACACCTTTACTGCGGTGTCAAGAACTGTGAATAAAAAGGTGAAAAGCCCATAGCTCTGACAAGCATCTTGACACTTCTTGATGCTACTAGTACAAGCTAGTTAAACTGAAGGTAAGAGGTAATCTTATTGAAGTTTATAATATTATCTGAGGGGCTGAAGAGACAAAGACGTCTGATTTATTTGTGCCATATTCTGAAGACAATAAGATGAGAGAATGCAAACATAAGAATTTGAAAAAGACAGGCTAAACTCCATCTAAGACAGTATTAATTTTCAAATAGGTTTTATGGAACGAGTTGGTGTGAGCACTAGTGGATTCCAGCACTTCACTACAGCTTAATTGAGGAATAAATAATTTGTTGAAAAAATAAAAGGTGGGTTTAAACTTTTATTTATTCTAAGACTTCAAGTTCAAGTACCAAACAGTCCCATGTTATATAACAGAAATAGTAGGTACTAACACCATAGTAAAGCAGTAACATTACTACTTACTAGTAGTAGTACTAGTAACACTAAGTAAGTAGCAAATTAGTAGTGTAGTACTAATAGTAGAATGGTGAACATTGAGCATCAGTACGATTCACCACCCAAGTAATATAAAATAAATTATAAGTTATAACGTATTTAATTTATGCTTTTACTAACCTGACCAATCAAAATATTATTGTCTAAGCCAATTAAACATCTGGGCCCAAGACTTCCATAAGAGGTGCCAAATTGTCGAAGTTCTGAAGAACGAAATGTCCAAATACCAAACTGACTTTCATTTGAGGTCAAAACATCCAGATACAGAGTTGTTCTATACCCACCCTACTAGTAGCAGCACTAATCGTATCTGTTTTCTTTTTAATTACAGAATCTTACACTTGCTCTAGAATAAATTTAAAAAAATGAAATCATTGAAAAATAAATAAAGCTAACCTCATGTAAAATTACAAACATTAACACATTTTCATCGGATTCTGAACACCAGCAGACCAAAATATTTTCCACAGCCCTCTATAAAAGTTATAATTATTTAAACAATATACATATAGTCAAATCACGCAATTTGCAAAGTTTGTGTTTATTTGTAGTTTGTTTTTTTTATCTCAGAGTAACCCAATGAGCTTTATGAGTTCTATTTGCACATCATGGAATCAAACCTCGGATTCTATCATTATAAGTGCAGAAACTTTCCTCTGATCCATCGGGTGTCTGCAAAGTATTGTTACGTATCTGCTTGCCTGATAATTTCCGGTACAAATTCTTTCCGATGAACTTGAGCGATACAACTCCTTTCTCGATTAAACCAGTTTATTCTTCCCCGATTCAAACTTTTTGTACGCATTAATTCCACATTCAATACGTTTCTCGTCTCTTTAAACTTAACTACTTTTATAATACACGTTGTTGCGTCAGCAGAGGTCACGTGACTAGTATCACGCCACGTCGTTCTCGAACATTCACGTCCTTTCCTTAAATCTCGGGATCCTTCTAGATATAGTGTAGACTTGCATATGTTGCGTCAGCGAGGTCACGTGACTAGTATCACGCCACCTATTTCTAGAAATATGCTGTTCCTTCAAGAATGCCCTAGCATTTACTAGATATGTTTTAGTCTTGTATATATAAGACGTTCACAACGTGACGGGACAACAGAGGTAATGAGTAATTGAACTGCAGTCAGAGAGAATATTGTTAAGCACGTGAGAAGTTCGTTGAGAATTATAGTGTTTGTTACAGAGCGACTGTTGAAATTAAGTGTATCGTAAAGTTGTATTCGGAAAGAAAAAGCCAGTTTTATTTAAGAAAGGACTTGTGTCGCTAAAGATTCGTCGGAACGAATTTACGGAAAATTAACTAACGACTGGAGCTGTAACAAATTGGTGTCAGAGGATGGACAGAGGAGCAGAAAGCAGTATATCTGGCAACGAGCTTGAA